CCTACCATTAGAAAATAATTATATTTGTTTTTATTAACAAATAAATAATATTTGATAAAATTTAAAATTAAAAAAAATATCTTATTCAATCATGTGTCTAGGTAAATGGTCTGTTTTTGTCGTTTACTATTAAAAACGCAGTAAAAGCTAGGTTAATGACCGAATACGGTGGGTCAAGACTCACTCTCGATGAACCTTTGTAGGTCAGCGGTCAGAAGCGGACCGAAAGGGGTTTAAATAATGATTTAAACAAATTTTTTCAACGCAAGTATGTATTTTAAATTTTATTAAATCGCGTATTCGTATTCTACTCATTTTCCCCTACCCTTAAAATTAATGTCATTCTGAGTGAATCACCCTGCAAAATTAATAACTGATAACAAAATACACATTTTTAAAGAAGGTTTTCTTATTTTTCTTTTTCAATTGCATGTCGAGGAAAAGAAGTTCCAAGTCTAAGATTAAAAATGCGATTAGGAATAAATTTTTCCAAAAATTCATTGAATATTTAAAGGTATTGTCAAAAATTGTGTTGTGTNAATAATAATAATAATAATAAATACTACAAAGAAAAAATACTAACCTATCATTAGAAAATAATTATATTTGTTTTTATTAACAAATAAATAATATTTGATAATATTTAAAAGGAAAAAAATATCTTATTCAATCGTATGTCTAGGTAAAAGATCTGTTTTTGTCGTTTACTATTAAAAACGCAGTAAAAGCTAGGTTAATGACCGAATACGGTGGGTCAAGATTCACTCTCGATGAACCTTTTTAGGTCAGCGGTCAGAAGCGGCCCGAAAGGGGTTTAAATAATGATTTAAAAAAATTTCAACGCAAATAAGTATGTATTTTAAATTTTATTTAATCGCCTATTCGTATTCTACTCATTTTTTCCTACCCTTAAAATTAATGGCAGTCTGAGTGAATCACCCTGTATAATTAATAGCTGATAACAAAATACACATTTTTAAAAAAGGTTTTCTTTTTTTCTTTCAATTGCATGTCTAGAAAAGAAGTTCCAAGTCTAAGATTAAAAATGCGATTAGGAATAAATTTTTCCAAAAATTCATTGAATATTTAAAGGTATTGTCAAAAATTGCGTTGTGTGTTGTGTTTTTGGGGCAAAATATTCGAGGAGCCAAATACTTAATATGTAGAAACACCCTATAGTCCTAGTCCATAATTTTATTTTTTGCTGTTTGCAATGGAATCGTCGAGACACGATCTGTACATTTAATAAAACCTCTTCGTTACGAAATTTTCCTGTAATCGTGTACGCTATCACAGTAAGGTTTAATGGATATAGATAATAATTATTTCATGAATATTATAATTCTACACATATTTGCAAGACGTGGTCGATCTTCAAGATAAAAGTAAACAAAAACAAAAATATGAAAACTAAATATTAACCACTTGCTGCTGCGAAAAATTTGCAAAAACGTCTGAAATATTTATACATCAATTGGTATCAAATCGTAAATAAAGTACACATATATTTTCAATGCACTTAACCTAATGCTACAAAAATGAGTAATTTGACTAAATAATGTCGTTTTTGTAAACATATATAAGGTGTCCCACTAAGGTCAGCGAGGTACGATATTAGAGGAAATATAGAGCTTCGGGAAAAAAATTTTGATTAAAAATCGACCAGGAGAAATCGCTGGAGATCAAGGACATTTAAATAAAGGGGACTTATTTATTTACATTTCTAGATGAAGCCTTGTCTATTCACAGTCTAATTGTATCATTGTTGGCAGCTGTATAATTATACTGGAAATGTACTTAATATTTTTATCGCAATTTTCATCACAATTGTGAAAATTATTATTATAGGATAGTATTATTAAGTTATGCATACAATATTGTTAAATTCTGTACATATTAAACTATTTTTCATTTTTCATATTTGCCATGTTTGAAGACTTGGCAACTACGCAATAATTTGTAGCGTGTTCCTCGTTCGTTCTGCCGTGGTTGGCAGAATATGGCGTCTCTTGTTAGAAAATAGTTGTGATTTTAGTAAGTGAAACGTGATTAGTGTTTATACATGTATTTTGGATAAACTTTTAAGGTGTGAATATGGTTAGACAGTGCAGAATTTGTAAGAAATTGGATTATAAACATCCACATCAGCTATCCTTCCACAGGTAAGCGTGCTTGAAGGTGACTTTGGAATGTATATGCAACTGTGGCCATTGTCGTGCGTGTGGGTAACTTTTATTTGAATAACGGTAAAATTTTATAAAACTGACTTGGTATTTTTTTAAAATTTTTGCTGAAATAGTAAGAAAACAATAATATGAACCACGTTTGGCCATTAAAATCAAAGGAAAATGCTGCACCACAAATAAGTTACAGACATTATTTATATTTAATATATTTATAGGTATTTCAATGTTATCCCTTATACCCAACATTACAAATTTTAATCATTCATCATTTTCATTTTCCTCTACGACAAAAACCTTTTCAAAAATATATTTACAATTTTACTAAATGCACGAGCATAAAAACTGAATAAATACAACAGCAAAAATATGGTGGTGGTTCACTTATACATAAAAATACCGAAGATGCAATCAACTGAAAGTTGCATTCATTCAACCATTTGATGTTCTCCTTTGGGAATATATTTTTATGTCTCACTGAAAATTTGCCTCAGTATTCTAAAAGTGAAATGTGAACGTTTTTAGGATGCTTGGGGATGGTGCAACAAGAAAGAAATGGTTACAGTTATTGGGATTCCAAGAAGTTATAAAAATATTATATATATTTATTATAAAAATACTGAGTAGCTGTTGAAATATATTGACTTAGGACTATAAAATATTTTATTTTGACCCATCCAAAATGTACGACATTGGAGATGTAATCGCGCGCATCAGTTGGATGAAAATAAAGCCATCTGCTTTCCCCTTGTCTAGCTTCACCCAACATATGAGATAGACTGTGACATGCATAGTCCCCTTTATTTAAATGTCCTTGCTGGAAATAGTTTTTAAGTTAGTAACTCGGCCATTAGGGGGCGCAAACTACATACCAAAACTTAGAGTTGAATTTTTCTCAGAAATGTTTCCTATTCAGGTATATTAAATAGTACAAATATGCATAGCCGGACTCACTGCGCATAACTTTTGTTATTGGCATTTTGTTCTATTTCTCGACAGAAAGGGTGGGGGAAGCCCCTAATGTCTGATAAGAAAAATGCATTTTTTTAAAGATTGGCTCGTCAAAAGCCATAGTGTTATACTTCGTTGGAAATGCCTTTTCATGCTTTATCTCGTGGTGAATGCGTGAATGTCATTTACCTCAATATGGAAACCTATAGATGGCCTTATTTCAATAGAATCCCCGTTTTATGGATTTTTCTAAAAAATTTTAAATGTAGTCATAGTTTCCTTTACATAAATGAATTTAGCACAAAAAATTGATGAATATAGTTTTAGTTTGAAATTTCTAACGAAAGTGTTGTTTATGTATTGGCGCTATTTATCCAAGTTTAGGTTGTTTCACATTTTCTTAAAAAAGTGAAACAGCTAGACAAAACTGAGTCGTGAAAGGAACTAAGTCCTGAAGTTAGTTCCTTTTACTACCCAACTCACGAGAGCGTGTTGTCAGTAGAGTCCTATGGTAGAAATGTTCTCCGGCAACAAGAACAATATTTTGCTTCAGCCTCATTCATGGAGTTTAAATATCTTCAAAATGGCAACATAGAAGCTGCGGAATTTATAGAAAGCTTAGTAAAGCGCACTTTTCATTTGAGACAACCAGGGCCTAGACCAGTGTTAGTATTTGATACTTTGTCCAGTGCTTACCCCGAAAGAAAAGTGCCTATAAATAAGCATGAAGTCGATGCTGTCAAGAAGTTATTGAAATATATCCCAGAACGAAATGAACAGCATAAACTTTTTTATGAAGGTTATCTTACATGGCCCACAAATTTGGAATAAGATAATATTTAGATAATTAGTTGAAATAATAATGCATTTTGTCATTAATAAACCCGTTCTGAAAGTAATAATAATTATTATTCAAGTTTATTTTTAATTATAGCAGTTAGGTGTTAAAATGAACTAACACCACTACTGCTTTTTTTTAATATCCTTTATAAAAAAACATAAAAGAATGAATTAAACATTATATAACAATTATCCCACATATATTTGCTTTCGATCTATCATAATAATATTTTACTCTAAATTCAAATCTAGCTTTAGTTTAGTTTTTTGTAATTTCCCAACATTTTTGTTTTTTGGAGTTAATTCCTTTTAAGACTCAACAATGCAATTGAGGAACATGACGTTAACGAAGACATTTAATTACCTCTCAAAACAAAATGCGTTCATACACTCAGCAAAAAAAATTAGAGAAAAATTTCCAATTTTTTTTTAGTGATTCGTGAAAAAAATAACTTTTCCTGCTGTTTTGGAAAATCAACAAATATTGCGAAAAGTACGAAAGTACGAAGTGCGAAAAAAATTATAGGAGCAGATTTATTGCTCCTTAAACATCAATTAATGATTAAGAGAAACATTTTTTTTGTTATTTTTCTCACACTTTCGCGTAAGTACTCATCAAATATCGAAAAAAAAAAATTCTTTGAAAAAAAAATTTTTCAGTTTTTTTTACGTCCTCTTTTTTACAATTTTACATTGAATATTTAAATTGTCGAGAAAATTTTTCCCTATTAGCGTTTTACTAAAAAATTCCCTGGTAAGTCCGTTTTTGGGATACAGATGCGGTTTGAGAATAAAAAATACAGATCTATTTACTCATATCTCTTGTACAGAACTTTAATAGCAGGTTCTACATTGCAAATTAGTAAAAAAAACTTCGACATTTCCAAATACAAAAAAAAAAACTATAATGATTTCGCGCAAATTCCTTGAATGTTCATTTTGAAAGCTATGTTCACATCAGATTTAAAAAACATACACTCTGATTTCAAATACTAAGAATTATTTTTTGTGAATTTAATAACTCACCTTTATATCCGCCTCCCTGGTCAGGGCCTTCTTGAACTTCTGATCTCTGGCGAACCTCTTCAAAGAGCTTAAAGTGGCTAGAGATTCATTCTGATTGTTGTTCAGAGGGGAGAATCTGTTGTACGTGTCGAAGACGCGGTTGGTGACGACGTCGACCATCTTATTCACTCTGGAAAGAAAAACCGACATCTTAACAGTTGTTTACAGAAACTTAAGATTAACTAATGGAAAATAAAACAGATATTTATGCAACATTGCAAAAAGTGTGTTAATTTTTTTTATATAAGTGGGAATTTGTCCCATTAATAAAAAAAAATACTTTACGTATGTGCTGCATGCAATATTACTTTAATACTGAAGGATAATATGTTAGATTTATGTTACAAGCGGTATACAAGATATATATACATATATCTCGTAAGACTTTTAAGATATTGCAAAAATATGATGTAATTCTCCTTACTTAATTATATATTTTCGGAAGAAACAATTTAGGACTCTAGTGTGTAAAATTAGTAAACTAGTCACACAAAATAAAGGACAAAAAAAATCCTAAATTTTTAGGTTATTTTGAAAAGGCTGTTATTTGGAGAAAAATAAATCATAGAGCAATAAAAAAACAAGTTGAAGTTGAAGTTGAAGTTTCTGCTTTCAGGATCTGAAGGGCAAAAATTTTTATCGTTGACCACCCTTAACAAATCATAAGAAATCCAGCGGAAAAAATTTCAAAATTGTTTCTCCCCTCTCAAAGGGTCCACAATCTTCAATATATTCTTTTTGGCAGTCTCACCTGTCAGCCCTTTCAGTTTTCAGTAAAAATAAGCTCTTTTTAATGCAAAAAGAGCGAATTCCCGAGAGGCTTTTGCCTGACCTTGGGACAATTTGTATATACTTAACGCTGTTTTGCACGTTCTACTTTGTTAGTTGCAAAGGGATAATTAATTTTAACTTTCTCTGGATCAATTAGAACCAATATCTAGGATATTAACTTTTAAAATTAACGTTTACAGCCTTTTGAAGATCACCTAAAAATTGAGGATTTTTTATGCTCTAAGTTTTGTGACTAGTATATTTTACAAACAGTACTACCGAAAAATTATAACGCTTAAAATTAAAATTATAAAAATTGGCGTAAGATTTATTTATCAGAAAAGTCAACTAGTAGGTACTGTGAAATCTCATTAATAGTAGTAAATAAATCTTCCACTTGGCGTCTTAAAACTTGTTTTTTTTTTTTTTAAAGGCTAGAAACTAATTGCAACTTTAATTAGCACCAATTTTTTAAAAGCTCCATGATGTTTTTAAATAAAGATGATGATCTAATGACGTAAATAATCAGTTTACCGATGCAAATATACGGGGTGTTCCTAAATAAGTGTCGCAACGGGAAACTGTAAATTTCTCTTGAAAAGAGAAACATATTTTTTTCTCCGGGCTTTCGTTTTCGAGATACACGGTGTCAAAACTTTTTTTAGATTTTTGCCAATATCTTAGGAACCGTTTGAACTACAGGACTGAGTTTTGGTACACGCATTACCACTATTAATAGCTACTTGTTGCAAATGTTGTTAAATTTTGTTAAACTTGTTAATTATTACTATCTATCTTTTGAATTACAAAAGATTTTTGAAACGTTAGCAAAATGTTTATTTTTGTTCATAAAAAGTCATTTTTCTTGAAAACTGTTGAGTTTAGAGCAATGAACCAAGAGAACTCTTTTTGTGTAAAATTCATTGGCGCTTCAGAATTTGCTGTCCAATGTCAATTTTTCCAGTGGCGTAAAAGTTAGGGGGGGAAAACCCTTACGATACCTTAAAATCTCCACCACTGGCACGTTCAATGAATTCGAGAAGGGTGCGAAAAAGTAGCTATTAATAGTGGTAATGCGTGTACCAAAACTCAGTCCTGTAGTTCAAACGGTTCCTAAGTTATTGGCAAAAAATTAAAAAAAAATGAAAGTTTTGACACCGTGTATCTCGAAAACGAAAGCCCGGAGAAAAAAATTGAAGAGGAAAAGAATGTTTCTTTTTTCAAGAGGAATTTACAGTGTTCCGTTGCGACACTTATTTAGGAACACCCCGTATAAGTAATTTCGGGAAAATATTAAAATAATAATTAACAAATGATATCTAACACACGAGCATAAATGCACTAATAATACCTAATATATACAGAAAAAAAAACCCAACGATTTTCGAGTGAAATTAATTTATTTAAAAAACCATTAAATTACTACCTATTAGGGAAGACTAAGTGAAAAATTCTTTTGATTCTGAGTGACACCGATTTTTTGTGTAAACTTTTCTGCAAATTGTGGGAAATAACCACTCACTGACAGTGCTAACACGCGCAATTCGAAAATTCCCGTTACATTTTACATGTATCACTACATATTTAGAAATAGACTATATCTCACCCATGCATTTACAAGTATTCAGCAATAATTAATTTCCCATCTATAGAGTAAATAAAAAATGTATCTGAAATTCAAATAATAAAGAATCTGCTAATTGTTAACCAGGTATGTATTGTTTGAAAAATTCTGTATGATGAGTTACAAAATGATATCTAATTAAAATGAACAAGTTTAACATATTTTTTTATCAATTAAGTTTTATAGAACTAAAGGGTCCTATGAGATTTACGATTTTATCATACATTTAAAACATAGAAATTCAATCAAATGGCAATAAAATTTCCACTGTACAATGATAAATTAAAAATATGTACTAATTGCAAATATCTATACAACTTGGCTATGTATATTTTTTAACAAATGCCTATATATAGCATCAATAAAATGAGTTACTTGCAAATAACGTCGACGAAGAAAAAGTGGACGTAATGTTTGAACAACCTAAAAATAATGTTTTGTTAATAACAAAAATACCTAGTATTAATGTAAATCAACAATACTTACATTTGTTTTACAAGCATAAAACTGATTTATTTACTAAAAACACGTGTACATTTTTTTAAACATCTTTTGTGTGTCCTTTTTGAAAGATAAATAAATATTTTAAAGCAAATTTTAAATCACATCTCTTAATCCAAGATAAACCTAAACTATAAAATATTTTCTTATCGTACCTGATGTACATTTCCAAATAAAAATAAACAATAGCAGATAAATTATAAAAAAAAAAGGTTTTTTTCATACTTCGAACAGTTGCAATTCACAATGTAAGTCCAAAGGTAAGGAAAAACCTACCTAATTGATTATTCATAAGATGACCAAAGAGGTCCCAAAATATACATTGTTTAGTTCACGTCATCAAGATCTTAATATCTGTATATCTGGATGGGCAATTCAGTTTTGAAAGAATGCGGTTAAAATAAAAAGTACATAACACTTCTACATAATCTAAGAAATATAGAACAATGCATTATGAAATAAATAATTTAAATTAATAAATATTGCAATAGTAGAGTAGTTGTTTTATAATTTTTTTATTTATAACAAATTTATGGTAAAGTCAGAAAGAAAAGAAGAGTAATTGAATATAAAATATAATCGTTTCTTTCTTGGTTATGTTAACAGGAATTTTATTACTGAAAAAACAATCTTTTGCTAACGAATACTACAAAGGTGTCAATAAGTAAAACAGATAAATTTGTAAATTTGAATGGGAACAATGGTGTTATCTGCAAAAAGTATATTTAAAATATCACTTTTAAAAATATTCGGTCGGTCATTTATACAAATTAAAAGAAGTACAGCACCCAAGACCCAACCATGCGGAATATCATATCCAAGGTATTTGACTTTGTATTACTGTAAACGACATACTGAAATCTGTCGATTTAACCATAAAAGTACAATTTTCTATTAAATGTTCATGAGAGACAAGTCCCTCAAAGTTACCCACATTATTTGAGAATTACTGTGATTATTATTTTAAAAACAATATAGCTTCAGGTGACTTTTTAATTGTCAGGTTAAATAATTAAGTTATATATGAAGAAACTAGCCTGACGGAAGCAAAATAAAACGAGTGAAACAATTTTTAAAATAAATGTTCAGTACATATAGCATATATTACATAAGAAAGAAGAAAAAAATAAATTCGTTTTTTTGTATATGTAAATACTACTGACAATTACATATCGGAAACACACAGACAAAAAAACAACCTTCAAATAATTTTCACTTTTCAGACATAATAAACCCATTAGTATTAGGAATATCCAGTATTTTTTTGTATTAGATGAATTGTATTCCTTAAACATTTCAGGGTATAAATTCAAATATAGGCAATTCAAAAAAATATCACCTTGACGGTAATATTTAAAACTTTCTGTTCAAAATATTGTTAAACGAGTTGGTTTACAATATGGTTTACTGTAGTTATTATAAAACTTACAAATGCCATTATAATAACTATTACATCAATTATCTCATTAGTTCATAAAAAAAATCATTTCCTATTTAACAATATTTTATGCTACATTCTGAATAGTAACTATGCCAATGCTGATGCTGCTCATTATTTTTTTAACTTATTTTGAATGTGACTTAACACCGTCTATTAAGTTTTATTAGAAAAGTGACTTGATCTGTTAAATATCTCTAAATATCTCTCTATTTTTATTTTTACATTTTTAAATAAATAACCTCTTGCGTCAAAAGCACCAGTGAAGTGGTTGGTTTTATTTTAGTAATTGCAGTAAATAATGTCAACGATTACAATAAGAAAACTTCTGTTATCATCCTCAAAACTTTGTTGAAAAGTGAATGGAAGTCAAATGCAACTTTTCGTTATTTCAATTCATTGGTAGGTAATTTTAAAATAAATATTAGTTTACTTGTTTTCCCTTACAAAATCTTAACGACAATGCGCAACTTTTCAAATTGAGAAAGCGTAAAAAAGTGTTTACTTGGTAATTTCTAAACAAGTAACCTACTCTTTCGAAAAAGCGTCTATTCATTTGTTTATTTCCTTTCGAAAACTATCTAATAATGTTGACATTTTATTTCCTAAATGTCAAATAGACACTACAGTTAAAAGGAACGAGACTTTTTTTACCAAAAAAGTCTTTTTCATATAGTTGTTATTAATTTAAACGATAAATTGCCACAATAATCTGACTGCTTATTCTTGAAAATTTATCCATTTCGATTGAATAAATTTTAAATTTCTTTATTTTCTTTGTTCGAAAATTGCAAAC